CTGCTCCCTGCCTCCCCCCCATTCCCCCATTTTTTTTTCTAATTCCAGCTTTCACAGAATGTGTTGCTGGTGGGGTGGGGTGTGTGTGACTGGTGGGGTGTGTGTGACTGGTGGGGTGTGTGTGTGTGTGACTGGTGGGGTGTGTGTGACTGGTGGGGTGTGTGTGTGACTGGTGGGGTGTGTGTGACTGGTGGGTTGGGTTGTGTGTGACTGGTGGGGTGGGGTGTGTATGACTGGTGGGTGGGGTGTGTGTGACTGGTGGGTTGGGTTGTGTGTGACTGGTGGGGTGGGGTGTGTATGACTGGTGGGTGGGGTATGTGTGACTGGTGGGGTGGAGTGTGTGTGACTGGTGGGGTGTGTGTGACTGGTGGGGTGTGTGTGACTGGTGGGGTTGGGTTGTGTGTGACTGGTGGGGTGGAGTGTGTGTGACTGGTGGGGTGGGGTGTGTGTGACTAGTGGGTTGTGTGTGAATGTTTGGGTTGGGTGTGTGACTGGGGGTGGTTGGTTGTGTGTGACTGGTGGGATGGGGTGTGCGTGACTTGTGGGATGGGGTGTGTGTGACTGGTGGGGTGGGATGTGTGTGACTGGTGGGGTGGGGTGTGTGTGACTGGTGGGCTGTGTGTGACTGGTGGGTGGGGTGTGTGTGACTGGTGGGGTGTGTGTGACTGGTGGGGTGGGGGTGTGTGTGACTGGTGGGGTGGGGTGTATGTGACTGGTGGGGTGGGGTGTGTGTGACTGGTGGGGTGTGTGTGACTGGTGGGGTGGGGTGTGTGTGACTGGTGGGGTGAGGTGTGTGTGACTGGTGGGGTGGGATGTGTGTGACTGATGGGGTGGGGTGTGTGTGTGATTTGTGGGGTGGGATGTGTGGGACTTGTGGGATGGGATGTGTGTGACTGGTGGGGTGTGTGTGACTGGTGGGGTGTGTGTGACAGGTGGGATGTGTGTGACTGGTGGGGTGTGTGTGTGACTGGTGGGGTGGGGTGTGTGTGTGACTGGTGGGGTGGGGTGTGTGTGATTGGTGGGGTGTGTGTGTGTGATTGTGTGGGGTGGGGTGTGTATGACTGGTGAGGTGTGTGTGACTGGTGGGGTGGGGTGTGTGTGACTGGTGGGGTGAGGTGTGTGTGACTGGTGGGGTGGGATGTGTGTGACTGATGGGGTGGGGTGTGTGTGTGATTTGTGGGGTGGGATGTGTGGGACTTGTGGGATGGGATGTGTGTGACTGGTGGGGTGTGTGTGACTGGTGGGGTGTGTGTGACAGGTGGGATGTGTGTGACTGGTGGGGTGTGTGTGACTGGTGGGGTGGGGTGTGTGTGACTGGTGGGGTGGGGTGTGTGTGATTGGTGGGGTGTGTGTGTGATTTGTGGGGTGGGATGTGTGGGACTTGTGGGGTGGGATATGTGTGACTGGTGGGGTGTGCATTTATAAGCGGTACCTTTCAGAAAACAGTGGCTGGCCAAAGCAGTAAATTGTAAAATTAGGTCCGAAATTCATGGCGGAAATCTGACAGAATCGGTTTATTGATTTGTATTATCCAAGAAACAGAACCTTATGTCACCCTTGACACCTGCAGCCTTGTGTCACACTTGACACCTGCAGCCTTGTGTCACACTTGACACCTGCAACCTGATGTCACCCTTGACACCTGCAACCTTATGTCACCCTTGACACCTGCAACCTTATGTCACCCTTGACACCTGCAACCTGATGTCACACTTGACACCTGCAACCTGATGTCACCCTTGACACCTGCAACCTAATGTCACCCTTGACACCTGCAACCTAATGTCACCCTTGACACCTGCAACCTAATGTCACACTTGACACCTGCAACCTGATGTCACACTTGACACCTGCAACCTAATGTCACCCTTGACACCTGCAACCTAATGTCACACTTGACACCTGCAACCTGATGTCACCCTTGACACCTGCAACCTGATGTCACCCTTGACACCTGCAACCTGATGTCACACTTGACACCTGCAACCTGATGTCACCCTTGACACCTGCAACCTAATGTCACACTTGACACCTGCAACCTGATGTCACCCTTGACACCTGTAACCTGATGTCACCCTTGACACCTGCAACCTGATGTCACCCTTGACACCTGCAACCTTATGTCACCCTTGACACCTGCAACCTGATGTCACCATTGACTCAATCAGAATGCCACCGAAACTGGCACCAGATGATTACCATATTATGGACAGACCAGAGCAAGTCATTATCCTTCGCCTTAGAACAGGGCACAATCGACTTCGCTCCCACATGTACAACAAATTTAAGATTGGCCAATCAGCCATGTGTACTTGTGGACTGGCACCCGAAACAACAGATCACATCCTTCAAGACTGTCCCAGATTCAACGCTTTCAGACAAAACCTTTGGCCAAAAGAGACACTTGTGGAAATCAAACTTTACGGGCCGCTTAGTGAATTACAAAAGACAGCGAAATTCATACTAGAGACGGCTTTGCAGATATAGACAATTTATTTCATGCGAACGAAAGAAGAAGAAGAAGTCACCTTTGACACCTGCAACCTGATGTCACCCTTGACACCTGCAACCTGATGTCACACTTGACACCTGCAACCTTATGTCACCCTTGACACCTGCAACCTTATGTCACCCTTGACACCTGCAACCTTATGTCACCCTTGACACCTGCAACCTTACGTCACCCTTGACACCTGCAACCTGATGTCACACTTGCCGCTCTGGCAGATGCACCCTAATAAGTCGACTCTTACCTTGTGCAGTATTTAGATTTTACTCAGACCCATAAAGGTATGCCAATGACATGCGAGCTGCATATCGCAAAGAAGATCATGACAAGAAGCAGGACTCGTTAATCCTTGTCCAGGTTGGTGGACATGGGGGTGCAACCTAAAGCAGCCAGAAAGGAACAGTTCACCAAGGGCACAAGCTGTCTGATGAATCAACAGTGAACGGACCTGATCAGTCGTTTTACTATTGTGCAGCTACTGAGTATGAGATTGTTTTTTAAAGGAGTAGGAAATTATAGGGAAGAAAAAAAGTTGGTAAGAAAGAACAAACAGTTTATGTTAGCTTTACAAAATCGATCACAATAAACAAACAAAGGACGTTTCGGCGATTAGCCTTCATTAGCACATAAAGAACAACACAGTACACATACACAAATATGCTCTAACTATGAAGTGACTACATAGGACTCTAATGTACAAATACCAACAGACAGGCAGGCAGGCCGGCAGACAGGCATGCTGATAGATAGATAAGAGATGGGAGCAGCTATGGATGTGTGCGGCGTGCTGCAATGATAGTCCTCACTTATCACCAATCACTAAGGAAAGCAAGCTGTGGTGACAGTATAACAGGCAATACGTGGTTTAAGACTAGACACATGGGCAGCCTGTGAGAAACTGGCTACACCATTTCGTAGAAAGGTTTAACTGCATCGTCTAGCCAATCATGATGCAGGCTTACAAGCAGTTGGCCGTTATTAACTCTTTCTGTCCCAAACAACGCACTATTCTTGACGGGATTTTTCAAATAATCCATTCAGTTTATCTATGTGTGTATATTTTATGTTTAGTGAGCAGCTAAAGAGCTCTGAAATCATTTGTTTCCTACAAGGGTTGTAGGTTTGGCCCTCTCTGGAAATAGTAGAACCATGAGTTCGGAAATGCTATTTTTTCACTGGGTTCAGGTCACGGTGAAGGTTAAGGTTTTTTTTACGTGGACTTCTAGTAATTTCCCCTGGTCTCTGGGTATAAAGATCAGATGCCAGTGTGTATTGTGGCGCACGTAAAAAGAATCTCTTGGCAGTTGGAAATTGAAAAGAGTAGCGTACCGGCGCTGCCTGGGCAAAATTTGGAGTTAAATATCTACCCAAAGTATTTCGGATCCTCGCCGGTGCTGCGGAGTTCGTTCACTGCGCTGAGATTCTTCGGACTCAGGCTTGAGTTAGAAGTAGAATGGATTACTTTGAGATTATTACCCTCGGGCAATGATGTAGATTAGTTGTTTAAACCTAAACCTAGTCCCAGTCGGCTCTTCCGTCATGCTTGCTGGGGAGGGGGGGTGTAAGGGAGGAGGTAAGGAGGGGGGGGGTGTCTGTTGTTGAAGGCGATTCCGTCTCACCGTGGTTTATATTCCTCAGACTGCTGTCTATCCATCTTTTCATTCATCTAACTTGTATCGATGTTTACTTGTACCTGCCATATTGCTGCCAGTCTACTTGTTGGTATGGCCGAGGCAGTGGGACTATGCTTGCTCTCCCCCCCCCCCCCTCTTTTTTGTTGTTGTGCCCCCGGCACACACAAACAAACACAATGGGCTCCAGATGGGCCCCAGACCCCACACAGGCAGATAAGATGTGGAAAAATCCCCCCACCCCTCACTCCCCTCTACCAGTGGGCGTGGATGCATGTAGTGTGTGAGTTCTGTGCTGCGGTTGGTGAGAGAGAGAGTAGCTTCCCCTGACTAACCGTGTTGTGTTGGCAGACGACAGTTGATAGAGGGGATCCGATCCCCAGACCTTCAACATCTCTGCCAGTATTTCTTTCTGACTGACCACCGCTCTTCTTGTATTTGTTATCTCTAAGCTAGACTGCCAGTATATTATCTGTGACGGTGGACAACAATAAAACATCGTCAATTCTGTCAGACTGACGTCTGTGTGACTAAGACTAAGAAGTGAGACAAGCACTTGTGTTGTCCAGTTGGTGATCACACGATAACGACAGAACATAAATCGTTGTCTTTGCGGTCAGTTGGTTGGACTTCTCTCAAAGTGATGACATCACGTCCTTAGTTATCTACAAGGGAGATTACCAATTCTGTTATGATTATCGGTGACAGTTAGTAGTGGACGCCGACCACAACAAAATATCGTCATTGGCCGTGTAGTGTGACCACAGCTCGTCATTTGTTATTGTTATCTGCAAGTTTAGTTGGACTCAAACCAGTCTATATTTTGCATTGTGTGCTGGAGTCAGCGTTTATCTTCTAAAATGAAGGAAGAGGAACCGCAAGAAATCAAGCCAATTTGGAACCCAGCGGCGCTGATTGCCGACAGGCTCAAGTTGAGTCGTAGGAGTGTGAGCAATGTCATCAGTCTTCTCAACCAGGGAGCCACCATTCCGTTTATCGCCAGGTACAGGAAAGAGATGACTGAAAATATGGAGCCAGAAATACTGAGAGAAGTTGCTGAAGGAGTTGAAGAACTCAAGTATGTAAAAGTTAAGTTAGATGTTCAGCTAGAAGTAAGATTTCTTTCAGTGTTTCCTGTAGTAGTTTAAGGATTACGAAACATTTGACTGAGAATGGTGCATTCTCTAATCACAGATTCATTACCAATATGTAACTTGTTGGTTAGACAGTATCATCTTCTGTAACTTTACACACACAGGAAATAATAGTTGAAGGCAAGTTAGCAGTTAGACATTTTGCAGTAGAACAAGTAGTCTGAGAAAATGTGAACCGGGGTAAGACAAATTCCTGTCTGATGTGATGTATCTGATGTGATGTGTCTTGCATCCTTGAGAACATTAGGTGAGGAGAAGAGTGGGTCAAAGTGCCACCTGAGCAGTCAGACTTGTGTAGAGTCATAATCACGCTGAGCCGGGAATGCAGAGACTGGCCAGCAGGTGCCACAGAGGTAGAAATTCAGCACTTAATTCAAGATAATGCTCGCTCAGAGGATTTGGTCATTTACACAGACGGTTCAGTGTCAAGAGGCAAAGGAAGTGCTTGGGGCTTCTTAGCAAAATTTAATGGTTGACGTTTGGTGCAGGAGAGCCTAGCATATGATACCACAACATCCAGCTTAAGAATGGAGGTGGAGGCGGTCACTGCAGCTTTCCGCTGGCTAGAGAACACCACACACACACACACACACACATATAGTGATTGTAACTGATTCAGAAAGCATGCTGAGGAAGATCAAAACAGGTATGCTTCGTGCAGAGTGGCATGCTTCGCTGCGGAGGACACGGGTGAGGAGTATTGTCTGGATTTTTTCACCAGGGTACGCAGGTGTGTTTGGAAATGAACAGAGGGACAGACTTGCTGGCTCTGCACAACTTAGTTGAATACTGATACATGATAAGGCAGACGTGGATAGTGCATTGTGGGAGAGTATGTACAGTTCGGAGGAGCAGATGTATCACCACAGTCAGGTGAGATTGATGCAGTGGGAAGTGACGAGAGGTTCTGGCAGATGCTCGAGGCTCAGAGGAAAGGCAAGACGCACATTTAATCAGAATGCTACTGGCACCATTAGTATCAGAACTCTTCGCTGGCTGCTGAAGATGGGGACGGAGCGCTTAGGGTAATGCCCCGAGTGCTGTGATGTCAGTTCTTGAATCAAATCAAATCAATGTGATGTGTCTAATGTGATGTGTCTAATGTGATTTGTCTGATGTGATGTGTCTGATGTGATGTGTCTCCGCCGTGAAGTGATCAGAAGGAACTCAGGTCACAGTAATCCTAATCTCTACCCTGAATGTTCAATGTTGAATTAAGAATAGACATCATAGCAGTCAGGACACTCCTCTAAGCGCGCTGTCCCCATCTTCAGCAGCAAGCAAAGAGTTCCAATTCCGATAGCACCAGTAACTGATTGTATATCCATCTCGCCTTTCCCTTGAGTGTTGAGCATCTGGCAGATCCCCTTGTAGTTTCCCGCAGCACTTCTCTTCGAATCGAAATGATCTGTCTGTGCCTCCCCACTGTTCAGTTGCTCACAAAGGGCGCTCACAACATCTAGCTAGCTATATATCAGTTCACCAAGTGATGCAGAACCGGCCAGACTATCTGCCTGTTCCTTTCATAACACGTCGTTATGACCTGGAGAGAATATCCAAAGGATGCTCTAATTGTGGAGGTCATTGGGGAGAAATCAAACAGAGAGGACTTGCTGGGACAGGTCATAGGGGAGAAGTCAAACAGAGAGGACTTGTTGGGACAGGTCATAGGGGAGAAATCAAACATAGAGGACTTGCTGAGACAGGTCATAGGGGAGAAATCAAACATAGAGGACTTGTTGGGACAGGTCATAGGGGGGAAATCAAACAGAGAGGACTTATTGGGACAGGTCCTAGGGGAGAAATCAAACATAGAGGACTTGCTGGGACAGGTCATAGGGGCGAATCAAACAGAGAGGACTTGTTGGGACAGGTCATAGGGGAGAAATCAAACATAGAGGACTTGCTGGGACAGGTCATAGGGGAGAAATCAAACATAGACGACTTGCTGGGACAGGTCATAGGGGAGAAATCAAACATAGAGGACTTACGGGGACAGGTCATAGGGGAGAAATCAAACATAGAGGACTTGCTGGGACAGGTCATAGGGGAGAAATCAAACATAGAGGACTTGCTGGGACAGGTCATAGGGGAGAAATCAAACAGAGAGGACTTGTTGGGTCAGGTCATAGGGGAGAAATCAAACATAGAGGACATGCTGGGACAGGTCATAGGGGAGAAATCAAACATAGAGGACTTGTTGGGTCAGGTCATAGGGGAGAAATCAAACATAGAGGATTTGCTGGGACAGGTCATAGGGGAGAAATCAAACATAGAGTACTTGTTGGGTCAGGTCATAGGGGAGAAATCAAACATAGAGTACTTGTTGGGTCAGGTCATAGGGGAGAAATCAAACATAGAGGACTTGTTGGGACAGGTCATAGGGGAAAAATCAAACATAGAGGACTTGTTGGGACAGGTCATAGGGGAGAAATCAAACATAGAGGACTTATGGGGACAGGTCATAGGGGAGAAATCAAACATAGAGGACTTGTTGGGACAGGTCACAAGCTCAGAAAAGCAAACCCACTAACATACTTGTTGGATGTGCATGTATTGAGCCACAGGCTTGACTAATAGTGTGGCCTTAATCTTATCCCTATGTTGTTAGCCTGCCGCTGGTATTCAGTGGGTGATGTGGTTAGTATTACACTGGCCACCTTGACTTCCCACACATGTTAGAGCTGGTCCCACCTGTTTGCTGTGGGTGATGTGGTCAGTATTACACTGGCCACCTTGACTTCCCACACATGTTAAAGCTGGTCCGACCTGTTTGCTGTGGGTGATGTGGTTAGTATTACACTGGCCACCTTGACTTCCCACACATGTTAAGCTGGTCCCACCTGTTTGCTGTGGGTCAGTTATTTCAAAATCTCTGCCTCGTTTGGGATTTGAGCAGAAGATCGTTGTAAAGCTGCATAGTGACTGCACTAGTGGAGCCACTATGTTTCGTCAGCACTTAAGTTGTTTCATGTTTACACAGTTGTGTTTGGAATGTTTTTGTGGTGGAACATGATGTGTGAAATTGTTTCTGGTAGAACAAGACATGTGGAATAGTTTCTGGTGGAACATGATGTGTGAAATTGTTTCTGGTAGAACAAGACATGTGGAATTGTTTCTGGTGGAACATGATGTGTGAAATTGTTTCTGGTGGAACATGATGTGTGAAATTGTTTCTGGTGGAACATGATGTGTGAAATTGTTTCTGGTGGAACATGACATGTGGAATTGTTTCTGGTTGAACATGACATGTGGAATCGTTTCTGGTGGAACATGATGTGTGAAATTGTTTCTGGTAGAACAAGACATGTGGAATTGTTTCTGGTGGAACATAGCATGTGGAATAGTTTCTGTTGGAACGTGATGTGTGAAATTGTTTCGGTGGAACATGACATGTGGAATTGTTTCTGTTGGAACATGATGTGTGAAATTGTTTCTGGTGGAACATGACATGTGGAATTGTTTCTGGTGGAACATGATGTGTGAAATTGTTTCTGGTGGAACATGATGTGTGAAATTGTTTCTGGTGGAACATGACATGTGGAATTGTTTCTGGTGGAACATGACATGTGAAATAGTTTCTGATGGAACATGACGTGTGAAAAGCATAGTTGCTGTATCATGCTATTTGTATTGTAGTGTTTTTACCAGGACTCCTGTCATTTAGGGTTGATCTGCTATGTCACTGTTCCTAACATTTGCATCCTGACAGGTGAATCAGCCGTGTCCTACGTCAGCATGCAACAATCTGTTATCTTGTGCAGTGTTTCTAACATTTTTGTCCTGACAGGTGAATTGTTTGATTTCAGAACAGTGGAGACAAAAGTACAGAGTGTCTACACGTCCATTAAAAAGATGGGCAAAATGACCGCAAATCTGGACACGTCTCTCAGATGCACCACTTCCCTGGCAGAAGTGGAAACTTTGGTAATGTTCTCTGGTGTTCCTTTCTTCTGTATCTTGTTTGTTTATAAAAATAAATGTTCTGTGCTATTTTAAAGAGCTAATGTTAAGTTTTCTTCCCATCTTATTGCCAGATTACCCCCAACAGCTTTCTTCCTATCTTATTGCCAGATTACCCCAACAGCTGTCTTCCTATCTTATTGCAAAATTACCCCAACAGCTTTCTTCCTATCTTATTGCCAGATTACCCCAACAGCTTTCTTCCTATCTTATTGCCAGATTACCCTCAACAGCTTTCTTCCTATCTTATTGCCAGATTACCCCAACAGCTTTCTTCCTATCTTATTGCCAGATTACCCCAGTAGCATTATACTTTGATTTGAAAAAGATAGTCTATGAATGGTCTTAAAATTATGATGTTTACCTTTTTTAATTTGTGTTACATCTGAAATCTGTTTTCGTTTGTATTTAATTGTGAGTTTAGTCATTTGGTTTGATGTTTTAACTGACATCGTTAATATTTACCATAGTTTAGCATTTGTGTGTGTGTGTGTGGATGTTTCACTACATTTCTGTCATCTGTTGGTGTTTTCATGTCAGATTGTTGTTTGTAGTTTTATTGTCTTGGCAGTGGATGGTACTTGCTGGCTGTTTTCTGTCCATATCAATGAATCTATAATGTCTTTAAAGTTGTCAGTCCAACTTCTTCTGGGTTTCCCTCCTAACAGCGATTGCAGAAGCAGTTTACATTGTGTGGCACCTGTATTAGCAATTGGTGCTACTGCATTCTAATAAGATACTCATATAATTTGATCTCCTGTGACTCGGTGTAGTTGTCACAATTTATTGCTGCCACAGTGTATGATTGCACCTGTTTACCGTTCACCTGGCTCAGTCTAACATACTTCTGATATGTTTCCAGTACCTGATGTGAGATGTACAGTTCCAATAGTTCAGTCTAACAGAAATGTGTAAATGTGTACATTGATGTGTCTCCAGTACCTGATATGAGAGTGTACAGTTCCAATAGTTCAGTCTAACAGAAATGTGTAAATGTGTACATTGATGTGTCTCCAGTACCTGATATGAGAGTGTACAGTTCCAATAGTTCAGTCTAACAGAAATGTGTAAATGTGTACATTGATGTGTCTCCAGTACCTGATATGAGAGTGTACAGTTCCAATAGTTCAGTCTAACAGAAATGTGTAAATGTGTACATTGATGTGTCTCCAGTACCTGATATGAGAGTGTACAGTTCCAATAGTTCAGTCTAACAGAAATGTGTAAATGTGTACATTGATGTGTTTCCAGTACCTGATGTGAGTGTGTACAGTTCCAATAGTTCAGTCTAGCAGAAATGTCTAAATGTGTATGTTGATGCGTTTGCAGTATGCACCCTTCAAGCCTGGTCACAAAGGTACCTATGCTGAACGAGCCAGAGCCCTGGGTCTGGAGACACTGGCCCAAAATCTGCTGGAGGGAAAGTATGTCTCTCTCCACTCAGCAGTCAATGTCAACACCAAAGGTCAGCTAGCTTTCATCATATCCTTACAGCAACTTCATTATTTCATCTAGGGCTCTACAGCTTTTATGTTTTGGAAGGGGGTGGGGGAGGAGTGTCAGCATCCTCTCCATTATTGAGGCAATTTCTCAGTGAGAGATGTAGAACATGTCAGCCCATGTGTTGTTGGGGCCTGTGAGGTGATTTCACAGTGAGAGATGTAGAACATGTCAGCCCATGTGTTGTTGGGGCCTGTGAGGTGATTTCTCAGTGAGAGATGTAGAACATGTCAGCCCATGTGTTGTTGGGGCCTGTGAGGTGATTTCTCAGTGAGAGATGTAGAACATGTCAGCCCATGTGTTGTTGGGGCCTGTGAGGCAATTTCTCAGTGAGAGATGTAGAACATGTCAGCCCATGTGTTGTTGGGGCCTGTGAGGTGATTTCTCAGTGAGAGATGTAGAACATGTCAGCCCATGTGTTGTTGGGGCCTGTGAGGTGATTTCTCAGTGAGAGATGTAGAACATGTCAGCCCATGTGTTGTTGGGGCCTGTGAGGTGATTTCTCAGTGAGAGATGTAGAACCTGTCAGCCCATGTGTTGTTGGGGCCTGTGAGGTGATTTCTCAGTGAGAGATGTAGAACGTGTCAGCTCATGTGTTGTTGGGGCCTGTGAGGCAATTTCTCAGTGAGAGATGTAGAACATGTCAGCTCATGTGTTGTTGGGGCCTGTGAGGGGATTTCTCAGTGAGAGATGTAGAACCTGTCAGCTTATGTGTTGTTGGGGCCTGTGAGGGGATTTCTCAGTGAGAGATGTAGAACCTGTCAGCTTATGTGTTGTTGGGGCCTGTGAGGCGATTTCTCAGTGAGAGATGTAGAACATGTCAGCCCATGTGTTGTTGGGGCCTGTGAGGGAAGCTAAGAATGAAACACTAATCTCTCATGCGTGTCCTAGGAGGTGATGGTGGAGGCTTGGCTTGGCTTGGAACTGGCTGTGTGGTCTAACCAGGACATAGAGTTTGCTGTATTTCTATTACAGAAAATGTCATCTCTATTGAGGCATTGTTTCTAGAAGATGGGGATAGTTGACTAGCATAGAGGTTGACACAAGACACTAAAGACACCTTGGATGTTAACATTCACAGGTAGTTGAATTTTCAAGTAGCCAAACATCTCTCTAGCAGGCGCAACATTGTACCAAGGAGCTGCTACACTGTGTAAGTGTGTCAGCACTAACTGTCAGATGACAAGAAAAGAATCTGCATCTTCAGAATCAGAAAGAGGGATGAGACAAATAAAGCAAAGAATGTTTCACCGTGATCACACACAGACTGTTTGGAAGACAGGCCAGACAATGAGATTGATCGTGATGAGCTGGCAAGGAGCAAACCTTCTGAGACAGTTATGAAAATTATGAGACAGTTTATGGAATCAGGGACAGAAAAGTCTCTCATTAATCATAGCAGGCCATGAAAATGTATAGTCTTTGTGCAGCCTCAAACAGTTTTTTGACTGTGTGTGTATGTGTGCATGTGAGAGAGAGAGTGAGAGAGGGAGAGATTAAAGCATTCCAAGTGTAAATATGAGACCATTATGGTTTGAAAAAAGCGAGAGAGCATCTTGTATAATCAATCTGCTGTAGTAGCAGCCATATGACATGTCAGCATCCTAGAGAGAGAATGCTAACTGGAGTGGCAACATCTGTAGATGGCAGTCAGGTGTTTGTGGTCGAGCGGGTTGGCTATAGAATCAACATTGATCACTGGTATCATGAGAGCTAATAGACTGAAATGTTTGGGGCATGTTGAAAGAATGTCAGATGACAGAAGTAAAAACTGTATACACCAGGGAGATGAATGGTCGTAGACCACGAGGGAGACCAAGAAGATGGAGAGCTAATATCCAGACAGACCTGCAAACACTTGGTGTTACCAACTGGAAAGAAAAGGCCAACCAGAAAGATGAATGGAGGCGGGTGATATCTGCAGCAGTGAACCTCGAGGGCTCGGAATGCTGAAGAAAAAGAAGATTCACATCATTGGCTATTGAACTCTGTGCAGGTGCACATCCAGCCAATCAAATTTAACTATAGTTTTCGAGAGAAAGGCCATGTACCAGCATTTATGGGGAGTGGCATACGCAGAGGTGACTACATTTAGGCTTCTCGGGACACAGGATCACATGACCTCATTGTCAAAGCATTGGGCTTAAGTGTTTAGTCAGAGTCTTAAGTGTTTAGGAGTCTTAAGTGTTTAGTCAGTCTTAAGTGTTTAGTCAGTCTTAAGTGTTTAGTCAGTCTTAAGTGTTTAGTCAGACTCTTAAGTGTTTAGTCAGACTCTTAAGTGTTTAGTCAGTATTAAGTGTTTAGTCAGAGCCTTAAGTGTTTAGTCAGTCTTAAGTGTTTAGTCAGAGTCCTAAGTGTTTAGTCAAAGTCTTAAGTGTTTAGTCAGTCTTAAGTGTTTACTCTGTCTGAAGTGTTAAGTCAGAGTCTTAAGTGTTTAGTCAGTCTTAAGTGTTTAGTCAGTCTTAAGTGTTTAGTCAGTCTTAAGTGTTTAGTCAGTCTTAAGTGTTTAGTCAGAGTCTTAAGTGTTTAGTCAGAGTCTTAAGTGTTTAGTCAGTCTTAAGTGTTTAGTCAGAGTCTTTCAGGCAGTTCTCCAGCCTACCATGTTTGTCTTCAACCGACTTTTTTATCAGACATTACATCCAGGCCATCCTCTATTTTTACCTTTCCTTCTGTGGATGTAGACATAAAGAAGATATTGAACTTTTTTTTTGGGGGGGGGGGGGGGGATTTATTGTTGATGAATGTTTGTGTTCTCGTTTTGTCATGGTTGGTGAATGGTTGTGTTCTGATGTAGTTATGGTTGGTGAATGGTTGTGTTCTGATGTTGTCATGGTTGGTCAGTGGTTGTGTTCTGATGTTGTCATGGTTGGTGAATGGCTGTGTTCTGGTGTTGTCATGGTTGGTCAGTGGTTGTGTTCTGATGTTGTCATGGTTGGTCAGTGGTTGTGTTCTGATGTTGTCATGGTTGGTGAATGGCTGTGTTCTGATGTTGTCATCGTTGGTGAATGGCTGTGTTCTGATGTTGTCATGGTTGGTGAATGGTTGTGTTCTGATGTTGTCATGGTTGGTCAGTGGTTGTGTTCTGATGTTGTCATGGTTGGTGAATGGTTGTGTTCTGATGTAGTTATGGTTGGTGAATGGTTGTGTTCTGATGTTGTCATGGTTGGTCAGTGGTTGTGTTCTGATGTTGTCATGGTTGGTGAATGGCTGTGTTCTGGTGTTGTCATGGTTGGTCAGTGGTTGTGTTCTGATGTTGTCATGGTTGGTCAGTGGTTGTGTTCTGATGTTGTCATGGTTGGTGAATGGCTGTGTTCTGATGTTGTCATCGTTGGTGAATGGCTGTGTTCTGATGTTGTCATGGTTGGTGAATGGCTGTGTTCTGATGTAGTTATGGTTGGTCAGTGGTTGTGTTCTGATGTTGTCATGGTTGGTGAATGGTTGTGTTCTGATGTTGTCATGGTTGATGAATGGTTGTATTCTAATGTTGTCATGGTTGGTGAATGGCTGTGTTCTGATGTAGTTATGGTTGGTCAGTGGTTGTGTTCTGATGTTGTCATGGTTGGTGAATGGTTGTGTTCTGATGTTGTCATGGTTGGTGAATGGTTGTGTTCTGATGTTGTCATGGTTGGTGAATGGCTGTGTTCTGATGTAGTTATGGTTGGTCAGTGGTTGTGTTCTGATGTTGTCATGGTTGGTCAGTGGTTGTGTTCTGATGTTGTCATGGTTGGTCAGTAGTTGTGTTCTGATGTTGTCATGGTTGGTCAGTGGCTGTGTTCTGATGTTGCCATGGTTGGTGAATGGCTGTGTTCTGATGTAGTTATGGTTGGTCAGTGGTTGTGTTCTGATGTTGTCATGGTTGGTGAATGGTTGTGTTCTGATGTTGTCATGGTTGGTGAATGGTTGTGTTCTGATGTTGTCATGGTTGGTGAATGGCTGTGTTCTGATGTAGTTATGGTTGGTCAGTGGTTGTGTTCTGATGTTGTCATGGTTGGTCAGTGGTTGTGTTCTGATGTTGTCATGGTTGGTCAGTAGTTGTGTTCTGATGTTGTCATGGTTGGTCAGTAGTTGTGTTCTGATGTTGTCATGGTTGGTCAGTAGTTGTGTTCTGATGTTGTCATGGTTGGTCAGTGGCTGTGTTCTGATGTTGCCATGGTTGGTGAATGGCTGTGTTCTGATGTTGTCATGGTTGGTCAGTGGTTGTGTTCTGATGTTGTCATGGTTGGTCAGTGGTTGTGTTCTGATGTTGTCATGGTTGGTGAATGGTTGTGTTCTGATGTTGTCATGGTTGGTGAATGGTTGTGTTCTGATGTTGTCATGGTTGGTCAGTAGTTGTGTTCTGATGTTGTCATGGTTGGTCAGTGGTTGTGTTCTGATGTTGTCATTGTTGGTGAATGGTTGTGTTCTGATGTTGTTATGGTTGGTGAATGGTTGTGTTCTGATGTTGTCATGGTTGGTGAATGGTTGTGTTCTGATGTTGTCATGGTTGGTCAGTGGTTGGGTTTCTGATGTTGTCATGGTTGGTCAGTGGTTGTGTTCTGATGTTGTCATGGTTGGTGAATGGTTGTGTTCTGATGTTGTCATGGTTGGTGAATGGTTGTGTTCTGATGTTGTCATGGTTGGTGAATGGTTGTGTTCTGATGTTTTCATGGTTGGTGAATGGTTGTGTTCTGATGTTGTCATGGTTGGTGAATGGTTGTGTTCTGATGTTGTCATGGTTGGTGAATGGTTGTGTTCTGATGTTGTCATGGTTGGTGAATGGTTGTGTTCTGATGTTGTCATGGTTGGTGAATGGTTGTGTTCTGATGTTGTCATGGTTGGTGAATGGTTGTGTTCTGATGTTGTCATGGTTGGTGAATGGTTGTGTTCTGATGTTGTCATGGTTGGTCAGTGGTTGGGTTTCTGATGTTGTCATGGTTGGTCAGTGGTTGTGTTCTGATGTTGTCATGGTTGGTGAATGGTTGTGTTCTGATGTTGTCATGGTTGGTCAGTGTTTGTGTTCTGATGTTGTCATGGTTGGTCAGTGGTTGTGTTCTGATGTTGTCATGGTTGGTCAGTGGTTGTTTTCTGATGTTGTCATGGTTGGTGAATGGTTGTGTTCTGATGTTGTCATGGTTGGTGAATGGCTGTGGTCTGATGTTGTCATGGTTCGTGAATGGCTGTGTTCTGATGTTGTCATGGTTGGTCAGTGGTTGTGTTCTGATGTTGTCATGGTTGGTCAGTGGTTGTGTTCTGATGTTGTCATGGTTTGTTAATGGTTGTGTTCTGATGTTGTCATGGTTGGTCAGTGGTTGTGTTCTGATGTTGTCATGGTTGGTCAGTGGTTGTGTTCTGATGTTGTCATGGTTGGTGAATGCTTGTGTTCTGATGTTGTCATGGTTGCTCAGTGTTTGTGTTCTGATGTTGTCATGGTTGGTCAGTGGTTGTGTTCTGATGTTGTCATGGCTGTGTTCTGATGTTGTCATGGTTGGTGAATGGTTGTGTTCTGATGTTGTCATGGTTGGTCAGTGGTTGTGTTCTGATGTTGTCATGGTTGGTGAATGGTTGTGTTCTGATGTTGTCATGGTTGGTGAATGGTTGTGTTCTGATGTCGTCATGGTTGGTGAATGGTTGTGTTCTGATGTTGTCATGGTTGGTCAGTGGTTGGGTTTCTGATGTTGTCATGGTTGGTCAGTGGTTGTGTTCTGATGTTGTCATGGTTGGTGAATGGTTGTGTTCTGATGTTGTCATGGTTGGTCAGTGGCTGTGTTCTGATGTTGTCATGGTTGGTCAGTGGTTGTGTTCTGATGTTGTCATGGTTGGTCAGTGGTTGTGTTCTGATGTTGTCATGGTTGGTCAGTGGTTGTGTTCTGATGTTGTCATGGTTGGTCAGTGGCTGTGTTCTGATGTTGTCATGGTTGGTCAGTGGTTGTGTTCTGATGTTGTCATGGTTGGTCAGTGGTTGTGTTCTGATGTTGTCATGGTTTGGTGAATGGTTGTGTTCTGATGTTGTCATGGTTGGTGAATGGCTGTGGTCTGATGTTGTCATGGTTGGTGAATGGCTGTGTTCTGATGTTGTCATGGTTGGTCAGTGGTTGTGTTCTGATGTTGTCATGGTTGGTCAGTGGTTGTGTTCTGATGTTGTCATGGTTGGTGAATGGTTGTGTTCTGATGTTGTCATGGTTGGTCAGTGGTTGTGTTCTGATGTTGTCATGGTTGGTTAATGGTTGTGTTCTGATGTTGTCATGGTTGGTCAGTGGTTGTGTTCTGATGTTGTCATGGTTGGTCAGTGGTTGTGTTCTGATGTTGTCATGGTTGGTCAGTGATTGTGTTCTGATGTTGTCATGGTTGGTGAATGGCTGTGTTCTGATGTTGTCATGGTTGGTGAATGGCTGTGTTCTGATGTTGTCATGGTTGGTCAGTAGTTGTGTTCTGATGTTGGCAGGTCTACAGTCAGTTGGGGATGTGGAGAAGGGAGTCAAACACATCATTGCAGATATTGTTGCCAAGGACAGTGTTGTCATGGAGGAGACCAGAAAGTTGTAAGTATTGTGTTTGTTGATGCTGCAGTTGGTAGCTGCTCTCAGCATTGTTCTGCCACCTGGTGTTGTCATCATCTGGTCTGTGGCTACTGGTAGACAAGACACCACACTGATTCATCCTTATATTTGACTTAGCTTCTTCTGCACTGGTTGTTTTCTTTTTTGTATTTATCTACACTCGTATATGGTAAATGATCTTTTACACTTCTTTACAGCTTTACATAGGGTGTTTGAACGGTCTGGCTGAATGATCTTCCACCATCCAGGGCAAGTTTTGTCACTTTACTTCCTTATGACTCATTGTGTTGTCCTAAAATTTACAGCATAACATTGACAAGCTAACATCATTGACAAGCTAACATCATTGACAAGCTAACATCATTGACAAGCTAACATCATTGACAAGCTAACATCATTGACAAGCTAACATCATTGACAAGCTAATGATTTTGACAGTCTAGCTTTGACAACCAGTGGATAAACACATTTGTAAGGTCTTAGTTATTTTCAAACAGTAAATGGTGTCTGGTCTGCCACTGTTTTGGCTGATTTTAAAATGACAGTGACTTTATTCTAGAAATCTGTCAGGTAATTCTGTACCTCATTATTGAAGTGCACGGACTCCGTGAATGATGAAACAGTTCCCCTGATGTGTGACCAAAGCTAAAATGACTGTGACTTTTGTGTTCAAATGAAGCCATTATGAGGTATCTCTGTTTGTCTGACAGCTATGACAGATGGAATGTCATGATAGAGAGCTGCAAGAACAAGAAGAACTCTGCTGCTGCCAAGAAGAAAGACAAGACCAGCGAGAAAGTCAAAGCCAGCCCGGGCAAGGAAAATGCCAGAAATCAAGAGCAGAAGTTTGAGCAGTACTTTGAGTTCAAGCTGCCAGTGAAGTCTGTGAGACCACATCAGGTGATCAAATACTTGTCAAACTGTGTCATCTTAACCTGCGTAAATGTAAAATATCAGGTTTAACTGAAATGTCAAGTAAAACACTGTGAAATTGGTGAAATCTTATATAAAGCTTAAATTTGTCAAATCTTATGTGAATCTGAAATATGTAAAATTCTGAAAGACGCAAACTTCTTTCATGTAAAAGTATGTGTTGTGTATAAAATCATTTGTGAAATGTGTCATGTAACACCATAAGATGTATGTACATCTATGCCAGGATTACACCTTATAAAATAAAATCTAATATTCCATCAGGTCACGTGCACAATAGTCCAATGATTTATCTTGTGTAAAATCTTAACAAGTGAGATTATATGTCCTGGGTAAAACCTTGTCATGTGAGATCATATGTCCTGTTTAAAATCTTAACAAGTGCGATTTTATGTTTTGGGTAAAACCTTGTCATGTGAGATCACATGTCCTGGGTAAAACCTTGTCATGTGAAACTATATGAGCTGTGTCAAACTTTGCCATTAGAGCTCATGAGAATTCACAGACAGACAACAAATCAAGTGTTAGAGAATGGATGCCTGAAGGAAGTCCTGTGTAACCTGTACAACTCAACATTGAAGACTTGAAGCAGACAAACACACCATCTGGCTAAAGATTTGACATCACAGTATTCAGGACGAGTCCATATTTTCTCCCTCTCCCTCCTCAACAGCCAGTGAAGAGACTCCATAATGGTGGTACCCATTGTCATCTGGTTAACTACTCGTCTTGCCTTCCCCAGGAGTCCTGAGTGGTGCCCAGAGCAAACACATCAGAGAATGTCAAGGTTTAACCACTCTACTCATGTTTCCTTCACAGATCCTGGCTCTGAACCGGGGTGAGGACCTGAAGATTTTAACCGTGAAGATCACTGTTGCTGATGGTGCCAAAAATATTTTCATGAACTTTACAACGAACAAGTATTTGAGGAACGTGCAGTTCCCAGAGAACTGCACCCTGATTAGACAAGCCATTGTTGATGCCTACGACAGACTCATTGAACCAATGTTGTGTAGACAGATCCGGTAATCCTTTTTTTTCCTGTGGTTCACTTTGCTATTTGACAAATGTCATCCTTCTTATCTCTACAGAAAGTCGGCGTTACCTTCTTCACATGATCTGTTTACATTATTATCGTGCAGTAATTACCAGTTGCCTGTTTGGTTGTTTGTTTCTCTGCGCTGCCACATGAAAGTTTGACACCCCTGCTGTTCACAGTAGCATCCTTTATTTCAGTCCAACATAAAAAGTCGAGATGTTATGTTCGGTGTTATAAGGAATTATTACAGTTGTCTGTGATATGTTGGTACCAGTTGTCTGTGATATGTTGGTACCAGTTTTCTGTGATGTGTTAGAACCAGTTGTCTGTGATGTCTTTGTACCAGTTGCCTGTGATTTGTTGGTATCAGTTGTCTGTGATATGTTGGTACCAGTTTTCTGTGATGTGTTGGTATCAGTTTTCTGTGATGTGTTGGTATCAGTTGTCTGTGATGTGTTGGTACCAGTTGTCTGTGATGTGTTGGTACCAGTTTTCTGTGATGTGTTGGTATCAGTTGTCTGTGATGTGTTGGTATCAGTTGTCTGTGATGTGTTGGTACCAGTTTTCTGTGATTTGTTGGTATCAGTTGTCTGTGATGTGTAGGTATCAGTTGTCTGTGATATGTTGGTACCAGTTTTCTGTGATGTGTTGGTATCAGTTGCCTGTGATGTGTTGGTATCAGTTGTCTGTGATGTGTTGGTATCAGTTGTCTGTGATATGTTGGTACCAGTTTTCTGTGATGTGTTGGTATCAGTTGCCTGTGATGTGTTGGTACCAGTTTTCTGTGATGTGTTGGTATCAGTTGCCTGTGATGTGTTGGTATCAGTTGTCTGTGATGTGTTGGTATCAGTTGTCTGTGATGTGTTGGTATCAGTTGTCTGTGATGTCTTTGTACCAGTTGCCTGTGATTTGTTGGTATCAGTTGTCTGTGATATGTTGGTACCAGTTGTCTGTGATATGTTGGTACCAGTTTTCTGTGATGTGTTGGTATCAGTTGCCTGTGATGTGTTGGTACCAGTTGCTGCCTGTGATGTGTTGGTACCAGTTGTCTGTGATGTCTTGGTATCAGTTGTCTGTGATGTGTTGATACCAGTTGCTGCCTGCGATGTGCACTTGTTCTAGTGAGTGTTGCCCTTACCTCTCCCCTACCACTGACATCCAGAAAAATGTTCTTTCAACAGGTCAGACCTGACGAAAAATGCAGAGAAGGCTTCAGTCAGTGTGTTTTCTGCCAACTTGAAGAAACTGCTCCTGACACAACCCGTCAAGAACAAAACCATACTAGGGGTCGATCCTGGCTTCAGAAATGGTTGCAAGCTTGCAGTTATCTCTCCAACTAGTCAGGTTTTGTGGACCGGGGTTGCCTACCTCCACAGCTCACCCAATACCTATCAGGAGATGAGGACCATCTCAACAGCTGTCAACAATTACAGGTGAGAGTTGTTGCCTACCTCAACAGCTGTCAACAATTACAGGTGAGAGTTGTTGCCTACCTCCACAGCTGTCAACAATTACAGGTGAGAGTTGTTGCCTACCTCCACAGCTGTCAACAATTACAGGTGAGAGTTGTTGCCTACCTCCACAGCTCTCAACAATTAAAGGTGAGAGTTGTTGCCTACCTCCACAGCCATCAACAATTACAGGTCAGAGTTGTTGCCTACCTCCACAGCTGTCAACAATTACAGGTGAGAGTTGTTGCCTACCTCCACAGCTGTCAACAATTACAGGTGAGAGTTGTTGCCTACCTCCACAGCTGTCAACAATTACAGGTCAGATTTGTTGCCTACCTCCACAGCTGTCAACAATTACAGGTGAGAGTTGTTGCCTACCTCCACAGCTGTCAACAATTACAGGTCAGATTTGTTGCCTACCTCCACAGCCGTCAACAATTACAGGTGAGAGTTGATGCCTACCTCCACAGCCGTCAACAATTACAGGTGAGAGTTGTTGCCTACCTCCACAGCCGTCAACAATTACAGGTGAGAGTTGTTGCCTACCTCCACAGCTCATCTAATACCTATCAGGAGATATGGGCCATCAATAATTACATATCAGTGTTGTTGAAAATTACTAGCTGTAAAATGCACTGTCTCCGTAAGGTCATTAACAACACAGACCATGTCTGAATTTTATTGACTGACAAAGAATGAGAACGTTCGGCCATCTAGTGAAAATGCAGCCAGACCAAATTGGATATGAGACATTTTACAGCAAAACAACTGGTAGAAATGTCAGGGGAAAGACCAAACAAAGATGGATATACAGTGTAGCTGAAACCTGCAAAAAGGTGAACAAATCTACAGGCTACAACCTGGTATCAGTGAGACAACAAATAAAAACAAAAAAGAGCTGTTGTCTTGTTGGACACCAGCTTGTGTTGATTGTTGGACACCAGCTTGTGTTGATTGTTGGACACCAGCTTGTGTTGATTGTTGGACACCAGCTTGTGTTGATTGGTCAGTGCTCTGGTTGTCATCCACCCAACTGCCTGACTCTATGATGACAACACCAGATGAAGAAACTCTTGCTACTGCTGGCCCCTGTATATTGAGGCTGTTGCTGTCATGTCTGTATACAGTCTGTGCCAGTAAACTATCTACCAGCGGACCCAGAAGAGGCCACTCTCCAGTGAAGCAAACATCACACAAGTCATCATCTGATGCTGATACTCAATACAGTGACTGTGACATGGCACAACACACAAGTCATCATCTGACACTGATACTCAATCCAGTGACTGTGACATGGCACAACACACAAGTCATCATCTGACGCTGATACTCAATCCAGTGACTGTGACATGGCACACCACACAAGTCATCATCTGACACTGATACTCAATCCAGTGACTGTGACATGGCACAACACACAAGTCATCATCTGACGCTGATACTCAATCCAGTGACTGTGACATGGCACACCACACAAGTCATCATCTGACACTGATACTCAATCCAGTGACTGTGACATGGCACACCACACGTCATCATCTGATGCTGATACTCAATCCAGTGACTGTGACATGGCACACCACACAAGTCATCATCTGACGCTGATACTCAATCCAGTGACTGTGACATGGCACACCACACGTCATTATCTGACACGGATACTCAATCCAGTGACTGTGACTTGGCACACCACACAAGTCATCATCTGACACTGATACCCAATCCAGTGATTGTGACATGGCAGTCGGCTCAAGTCCAAGCCAGCTTTTCAAATATAATAAGAAATTACCTTCACTAGCTTTCATAATATTTGCTGGCACGTTTCTATCTCTGTTTTTAGAAAATAGGAATCTGTTGTTTCATTGTTTAATATAGTTAGTCATGCAGCCTTGCTCCAACCTTCTCATCTCCTGCTGTAATAGTCTACTATCTACATCTAGACTGTTTAATATAGTTAGCCATGCAACCTTGCTCCAACCTTCTCATCTCCTGCTGTAATAGTCTACTATCTACATCTAGACTGTTTAATATAGTTAGTCATGCAGCCTTGCTCCAACCTTCTCATCTTCTGCTGTAATAGTCTACTATCTACATCTAGACTGTTTAATATAGTTAGTCATGCAGCCTTGCTCCAACCCTCTCATCTCCTGCTGTAATAGTCTACTATCTACATCTAGACTGTTTAATATAGTTAGCCATGCAGCCTTGCTCCAACCCTCTCATCTTCTGCTGTAATAGTCTACTATCTACATCTAGACTGTTTAATATAGTTAGTCATGCAGCCTTGCTCCAACCCTCTCATCTCCTCCTGTAATAGTCTACTATCTACATCTAGACTGTTTAATATAGTTAGTCATGCAGCCTTGCTCCAACCCTCTCATCTCCTCCTGTAATAGTCTACTATCTACATCTAGACTGTTTAATATAGTTAGTCATGCAACCTTGCTCCAACCTTCTCATCTTCTGCTGTAATAGTCTACTATCTACATCTAGACTGTTTAATATAGTTAGCCATGCAGCCTTGCTCCAACCTTCTCATCTTCTGCTGTAATAGTCTACTATCTACATCTAGACTGTTTAATATAGTTAGCCATGCAACCTTGCTCCAACCTTCTCATCTCCTCCTGTAATAGTCTACTATCTACATCTAGCATGCCTGCCTGGTCCAGACTGTTTAATATAGTTAGTCATGCAACCTTGCTCCAACCTTCTCATCTCCTCCTGTAATAGTCTACTATCTACATCTAGACTGTTTAATATAGTTAGCCATGCAGCCTTGCTCCAACCTTCTCATCTCCTCCTGTAATAGTCTACTATCTACATCTAGACTGTTTAATATAGTTAGTCATGCAACCTTGCTCCAACCTTCTCATCTCCTCCTGTAATAGTCTACTATCTACATCTAGACTGTTTAATATAGTTAGCCATGCAACCTTGCTCCAACCTTCTCATCTCCTCCTGTAATAGTCTACTATCTACATCTAGACTGTTTAATATAGTTAGCCATGCAACCTTGCTCCAACCCTCTCATCTCCTCCTGTAATAGTCTACTATCTACATCTAGACTGTTTAATATAGTTAGCCATGCAACCTTGCTCCAACCTTCTCATCTCCTCCTGTAATAGTCTACTATCTACATCTAGACTGTTTAATATAGTTAGCCATGCAGCCTTGCTCCAACCTTCTCATCTCCTCCTGTAATAGTCTACTATCTACATCTAGACTGTTTAATATAGTTAGCCATGCAACCTTGCTCCAACCTTCTCATCTCCTCCTGTAATAGTCTACAATCTACATCTAGCATGCCTGCCTGGTCCAGACTGTTTAATATAGTTAGTCATGCAACCTTGCTCCAACCTTCTCATCTCCTCCTGTAATAGTCTACAATCTACATCTAGCATGCCTGCCTGGTCCAGACTGTTTAATATAGTTAGTCATGCAACCTTGCTCCAACCTTCTCATCTCCTCCTGTAATAGTCTACTATCTACATCTAGCATCCCTGCCTGGTCAGACTGTTTAATACTGTTCTGTTTAACCGCCATGGGGCCCAGTATAACCATGCAGTTGACTGGGGCTTACCAGGGTTTATCATGTGGGATTCTCATCCCTGAGATGTAATCCTGCAGACTGCAGTACTGGATGGGACAAACTGCCTCTGCGACTGTCAGCAACCATCTCCTGTCTTCTCTGCTTCTGTGACTGTCAGCAACCATCTCCTGTCTTTTCTACTTCTGTGACTGTCAGCAACCATCTCCTGTCTTCTCTAGTTCTGTGACTGTCAGCAACCATCTCCTGTCTTCTCTAGTTCTGTGACTGTCAGCAACCAACTCCTGTCTTCTCTACTTCTGTGACTGTCAGCAACCATCTCCTGTCTTCTCTACTTCTGTGACTGTCAGCAACCATCTCCTGTCTTCTCTACTTCTGTGACTGTCAGCAACCATCTCCTGTCTTCTCTACTTCTGTGACTGTCAGCAACCATCTCCTGTCTTTTCTACTTTTGTGACTGTCAGCAACCATCTCCTGTCTTCTCTACTTCTGTGACTGTCAGCAACCATCTCCTGTCTTCTCTATTTCTGTGACTGTCAGCAACCATCTCCTGTCTTCTCTACTTCTGTGACTGTCAGCAACCATCTCCTGTCATCTCTACTTCTGTGACTGTCTGCAACCATCTCCTGTCTTCTCTACTTCTGTGACTGTCAGCAACCATCTCCTGTCTTCTCTAGTGCTGTGACTGTCTGCAACCATGTCCTGTCTTCTCTACTTTTGTGACTGTCAGCAACCATCTCCTGTCTTCTCTAGTTCTGTGACTGTTAGCAACCATCTCCTGTCTTCTCTAGCTCTGTGACTGTCTGCAATCATCTCCTGTCTTCTCTAGTGCTGTGACTGTCTGCAACCATCTCCTGTCTTCTCTAGTGCTGTGACTGTCTGCAACCATCTCCTGTCTTCTCTACTTCTGTGACTGTCAGCAACCATCTCCTGTCTTCTCTATTTCTGTGACTGTCAGCAACCATCTCCTGTCTTCTCTACTTCTGTGACTGTCAGCAACCATCTCCTGTCTTCTCTACTTCTGTGACTGTCTGCAACCATCTCCTGTCTTCTCTACTTCTGTGACTGTCAGCAACCATCTCCTGTCTTCTCTAGTGCTGTGACTGTCTGCAACCATGTCCTGTCTTCTCTACTTCTGTGACTGTCAGCAACCATCTCCTGTCTTCTCTAGTTCTGTGACTGTCAGCAACCATCTCCTGTCTTCTCTAGCTCTGTGACTGTCTGCAATCATCTCCTGTCTTCTCTAGTGCTGTGACTGTCTGCAACCATCTCCTGTCTTCTCTAGTGCTGTGACTGTCTGCAACCATCTCCTGTCTTCTCTACTTCTGTGACTGTCAGCAACCATCTCCTGTCTTCTCTATTTCTGTGACTGTCAGCAACCATCTCCTGTCTTCTCTACTTCTGTGACTGTCAGCAACCATCTCCTGTCTTCTCTACTTCTGTGACTGTCTGCAACCATCTCCTGTCTTCTCTACTTCTGTGACTGTCAGCAACCATCTCCTGTCTTCTCTAGTGCTGTGACTGTCTGCAACCATGTCCTGTCTTCTCTACTTCTGTGACTGTCAGCAACCATCTCCTGTCTTCTCTAGTTCTGTGACTGTCAGCAACCATCTCCTGTCTTCTCTAGCTCTGTGACTGTCTGCAATCATCTCCTGTCTTCTCTAGTGCTGTGACTGTCTGCAACCATCTCCTGTCTTCTCTAGTGCTGTGACTGTCTGCAACCATCTCCTGTCTTCTCTACTTCTGTGACTGTCTGCAACCATCTCCTGTCTTCTCTACTTCTGTGACTGTCAGCAACCATCTCCTGTCTTCTCTATTTCTGTGACTGTCAGCAACCATCTCCTGTCTTCTCTACTTCTGTGACTGTCAGCAACCATCTCCTGTCTTCTCTACTTCTGTGACTGTCTGCAACCATCTCCTGTCTTCTCTACTGTGACTGTCAGCAACCATCTCCTGTCTTCTCCACTTCTGTGACTGTCAGCAACCATCTCCTGTCTTCTCTACTTCTGTGACTACCTGTAGCCAGTCTCATCTTGTGGCTGTATTGTTTACATTGTTATTTGTTGTTCATTCTCTTCTATTTGTGTTTCCCTGTACAGGTGTGAGATAATCACTATTGGCAATGGCGTGGCCTGTCGTGAGACAGAGAAAATTGTTTCTGACATGATCAAACAGGGACAGTTTTACTCCAGTACAGTACAGTATTGGTGAGTATTATGTTGCTTGTTCTGTACAGTATGGTGTGTATTATGTTTCTTGTTCTGTACAGTATTGGTGTGTATTATGTTGCTTGTTCTGTACAGTATGGTGTGTATTATGTTGCTTGTTCTGTACAGTATGGTGTGTATAATGTTGCTTGTTCTGTACAGTATGGTGTGTATTATGTTGTTTGTTCTGTACAGTATTGGTGTGTATTATGTTGCTTGTTCTGTACAGTATTGGTGTGTATTATGTTGCTTGTTCTGTACAGTATGGTGTGTATTATGTTGCTTGTTCTGTACAGTATTGGTATGTATTATGTTGCTTGTTCTGTACAGTATTGGTGTGTATTATGTTGCTTGTTCTGTACAGTATTGGTGTGTATTATGTTGCTTGTTCTGTACAGTATGGTGTGTATTATGTTGCTTGTTCTGTACAGTATTGGTGTGTATTATGTTGCTTGTTCTGTACAGTATTGGTGAGTATTACGTTGCTTGTTCTGTACAGTATGGTGTGTATTATGTTGCTTGTTCTGTACAGTATGGTGTGTATTATGTTGCTTGTTCTGTACAGTATGGTGTGTATTATGTTGCTTGTTCTGTACAGTATGGTGTGTATTATGTTGCTTGTTCTGTACAGTATGGTGTGTATTATGTTGCTTGTTCTGTACAGTATGGTGTGTATTATGTTGCTTGTTCTGTACAGTATGGTGTGTATTATGTTGCTTGTTCTGTACAGTATTGGTGTGTATTATTTTGCTTGTTCTGTACAGTATTGGTGAGTATTATGTTGCTTGTTCTGTACAGTATTGGTATGTACCGCTCTCATCATGGGACCACCATTTGTTGTTATTATAAAGCCCAACTCTGGCTGTTGTTGGAGGCCCTAATATAACCCCTGGGGGTTCAATAGTTTCCGGGACCTTTGTGTCACCAGGTGTTAGTTGCTCTGTGTGATGTCCCAGTGAGGCTGAACCGCACTCAGATCAGTATTCTATGTTTTATATTGTGTATTTTAATGTATTGATGTTGATTACATTACATAATACCATATTATATCTATATTACCCATGTGGCTTACGGGTTCCACTTTTAGGGGAACCAGAATCGACCCACTGTTCCCCAACAAGCATTTCATAACATTAACTAGGAGTTTGTTGAAACCACATCAATATCGCAGCCTAGCTGTGAACCACATCACAGCATGCAACCTGCCCTTTCTAACATAACTGTAGAAGAAGAAGATGAAGATAGAGAGGTAGATAGTTACAGAGGGGGATAGATCTTACATCCGTCCATTCTAAACACTCTTCTTGAACACAGCAGCTGTATTTGATCAATAAAGCATTTTGTGGTTGTAATGAACCAAACCGTAGACTTGAAGTTATGCTTTCAACTATCTTGAAATGATTCTGATTCAACTTGTAATGATTCTTGGCCTTCTACTATCTTGGAATGAACCTTGGTTTGCACCGGCTTCAACGTCTAGGGTTGACAACACAAACGCCACTCAGCTTCATTGTACATTCTGTCAGTTTATTCTGGTCCATTTATTTCACTCGTGACATATTCGAACACTAACCATTCACAACATAAAAACTACATCTTCAATTACTACAACCGTCTTCACTGACTTCTGATGATCGACTGACCACGAGGCTAGCTCGGGCTTCCCCTCGCTTACTCCACCGGCCACAATTATCTCGTGCCGTCACCTGTAGCACGGACTTTCTGCTTGCCACAATGTACTCGTGGAGACCATGCAAAGCAGGGTCATCACAGTGGTCATATCAGTTGCATATTATGAATATCGGGCAAAAACACAAAAGCATGGGTGGTAAAATGCATATGCACACAAGTGTGCGCACGCGCACACACGCACATACACAGGCAACCCACTCACACACACACATCCACATACATACATAATAAATAAATACATATATACTTACATTGATAATGTGGTAGTGACTTCTGCAGTAAATTTACTATAATGTGAGTAGAAATCTCTGCATGTGTGCAGATGTCCTCTCCACACAGGGACTGGTTGCTGTCTCCTGGTTGTAGCAGTGATGTATCTATGTTTTACCCATGCCTAGAAACATTAGATACAGCAGTCACATGTGTGCAGATGTCCTCTCCACACAGGGACTGGTTGCTGTCTCCTGGTTGTAGCAGTGATGTATCTATGTTTTACCCATGCCTAGAAACATTAGATACAGCAGTCACATGTGTGCAGATGTCCTCTCCACACAGAGACTGGTTGCTGTCTCCTGGTTGTAGCAGTGATGTATCTATGTTTTACCCATGCCTAGAAACATTAGATACAGCAGTCACATGTGTGTAGGTGTCCTCTCCACACAGAGACTGGTTGCTGTCTCCTGGTTGTAGCAGTGATGTATCTATGTTTTACCCATGCCTAGAAACATTAGATACAGCAGTCACATGTGTGTAGGTGTCCTCTCCACACAGGGACTGGTTGCTGTGTCCTGGTTGTGGCAGTGATGTATCTATGTTTTACCCATACCTAGACACATTAGATACAGCAGTCACATGTGTAGACGCTGTCATTACTGACCACCACTTATTGTTTCGCCTGTCCACTCCAACATGCTGTCCAGTATTATTGATGAGAGTGGAGCCTCCATCTACAGCGTCTCAGACCAGGCCAAAGTTGACCTCCCAGATCTGGACCACGCCTTGAGAGGAGCAGGTAAATCCTTGCTGACTGTCTCATGTGTCTAACTGTGGCACTTGCCAGACTAGATGTTTGTTTTACCAGTCAACCTCTACAAGTGTTCAAGCAGTCATGTGACAGATATGGATATTTGTTGCACAAATATTTGTTCCCAGGATGTTTGTTTTACCTCTTCTTAATGTTCACCAGCTATAAACTCCAGTAGAAAGTTCTGGTTGTTCATCCACTTTTGGATTGTGGTCTTGTTCCAGAACTTGAGTTTTGTTTGAAGATCTGTATTTCTCTCAGGCAGATGTAGTCAAGACAACTTGCTGATTGGTCGCCTTGTACCACATGTACTTGTTAGGAGGAGTCAGCTGGTCTCTTCTTTCCCACAACCAAAATGGGGCCTCAGAACCCACAAGGGGAATTGTTATACCAGTGAGTTACTGAAAAGTTTAGATGAATCTTCTAGAATATCTTTTGCCGTTTTTTTTTTTAAGCTACACCATCAGTGGAACAAAAATACAACACATCCTAGTCAGATTCTCATAATGTAGTCAGTCAGACAGATGAACCTTGACTGTCTTGTGCTAGCCAGACCAGCCAGCTGACCAGTTAGACTGTGGCACTTTAGCCAAGCAGCTTACAGGGACATGGCTGGGCACACCACAATCAAGTCTCCAGTTCCACCCCACAGTTTAATCACAGCAGCACTTGATTATGATGGAGCCACATGCTGAAAGAGGACTATTTCCACAGCAAGAAAGACCAGGTTCACTGATACAGCAGCAAGAAAGACCAGGTTCACTGATACAGCAGCAAGAAAGACCAGGTTCACTGATACAGCAGCAAGAAAGACCAGGTTCACTGATACAGCAGCAAGAAAGACCAGGTTCACTGATACAGCAGCAAGAAAGACCAGGTTCACTGAGACAGCAGCAAGAAAGACCAGGTTCACTGATACAGCAGCAAGAAAGACCAGGTTCACTGAGACAGCAGCAAGAAAGACCAGGTTCACTGATACAGCAGCAAGAAAGACCAGGTTCACTGATACAGCAGCAAGAAAGACCAGGTTCACTGATACAGCAGCAAGAAAGACCAGGTTCACTGAGACAGCAGCAAGAAAGACCAGGTTCGCTGATACAGCAGCAAGAAAGACCAGGTTCACTGATACAGCAGCAAGAAAGACCAGGTTCGCTGATACAGCAGCAAGAAAGACCAGGTTCACTGATACAGCAGCAAGAAAGACCAGGTTCACTGATACAGCAGCAAGAAAGACCAGGTTCACTGATACAGCAGCAAGAAAGACCAGGTTCACTGATACAGCAGCAAGAAAGACCAGGTTCACTGATACAGCACCAAGCCATCAGGGAGAGAGTTGGTTTCCTCTTGTAGCCATGGATGGAGCCAGAAGAAGGTCACGTGGCAGCAGGGGCTGTTGGGGAAGAGTTCAGGCTTTGTGGTGAATGGGATAGAGGCTACATGGTGAGTGGGACAGAGGCTTGGCTCAGTTTCCAGCAGCTGAGTGACAAGAAAATGGTACCCATGTGCTTGACATTCACCTTACTGAGGTCATGTGGCAGTTGGGTGCACACATGTTGTGACAAAATGGCAGTAATGGTTAACTGTGAACACTTTTGGAAGGTAGCTTACTGGGTACTGACACACAGAGGAGCAGTATACATGGGGGTACTGACACACAGAGGAGCAGTATACATGGGGGTACTGACACACAGAAGAGCAGTATACATGGGGGTACTGACACACAGAAGAGCAGTATACATGGGGGTACTGACACACAGAGGAGCAGTATACATGGGGGTACTGACACACAGAAGAGCAGTATACATGGGGGTACTGACACACAGAAGAGCAGTATACATGGGGGTACTGACACACAGAAGAGCAGTATACATGGGGGTACTGACACACAGAAGAGCAGTATACATGGGGGTACTGACACACAGAGGAGCAGTATACATGGGGGTACTGACACACAGAGGAGCAGTATACATGGGGGTACTGACACACAGAGGAGCAGTATACATGGGAGTACTCAGACATAGAGGAGCAGTATACATGAGAGTCAGAACGCACACATTTAAAGAAGGTCATTTTCTAGAAGTAGGTGACCTGACTGATGTCACTATTGTTTCACCAATGACCTGACAGATGTCACTATTGTTCCACCAATGACCTGACAGATGTCACTATTGTTCCACCAATGACCTGACAGATGTCACTATTGTTCCACCAATGACCTGACAGATGTCACTTTTGTTCCACCAATGACCTGACTGATGTCACTATTGTTGCACCAATGACCTGACAGATGTCACTATTGTTCCACCAATGACCTGACAGATGTCACTGTTGTTCCACCAATGACCTGACAGATGTCACTATTGTTCCAACAATGACCTGACAGATGTCACTATTGTTGCACCAATGACCTGACAGATGTCACTATTGTTCCACCAATAACCTGACAGATGTCACTATTGTTCCACCAATGACCTGACAGATGTCACTATTGTTCCACCAATGACCTGACAGATGTCACTGTTGCTCTACCAATGACCTGACATATGTCACTATTGTTCCACCAATGACCTGACAGATGTCAGTATTGCTCCACCAATGACCTGACAGATGTCAGTATTGCTCAACCAATGACCTGACAGATGTCACTATTGTTCCACCAATGACCTGACAGATGTCACTATTGTTGCACCAATGACCTGACAGATGTCACTATTGTTCCACCAATGACCTGACAGATGTCACTATTGTTCCACCAATGACCTGACAGATGTCACTATTGTTGCACCAATGACCTGACAGATGTCACTATTGTTCCACCAATGACCTGACAGATGTCACTATTGTTTCACCAATGACCTGACAGATGTCACTATTGTTCCACCAATGACCTGACAGATGTCACTATTGTTCCACCAATGACCTGACAGATGTCACTATTGTTGCACCAATGACCTGACAGATGTCAGTATTGTTCCACCAATGACCTGACAGATGTCACTATTGTTCCACCAATGACCTGACAGATGTCACTGTTGCTCTACCAATGACCTGACAGATGTCACTATTGTTGCACCAATGACCTGACAGGTGTTACTGTTCTGTTGTTGTTTTTTACCCAGTGTTTCTTGTCTTCTGTCAGTGTCACTTGCCCGCAGGCTGCAGGACCCGCTGGCAGAGTTTGTCAAGATTGAGCCCAAACATTTGGGTGTGGGCATGTACCAGGTGAGTCTGTGTGTCACTTGTCACATTACCTTCATCAGCATCATCATGTGCCAGGCCAGGTGGCATGGACATCCCTCTGTCTCCAAGGATCCTTGTTATTGGTGTTGTGGATCACTTCTGTTGATGATGTTCTATCATCTCAATGTCTTAGACCAGCTAGCATCTTTTCTCTCCACCCACCTCTGCCACTGATTTTTCCACTTATCCCAGTGTTCTCCAATACCTCTCCTCTGTTTGCATTACCAAACACTAAACTCAAAAAAAAGAAAAACTGTATCGAACGAGCAAACTTTATTTTCAAAGGGTCACAAGTTAGGCACACAGGCCTGTCTTACATTCAGCCCTTCCATATAGACCACTGTTTAGGGTGGTGTAGACGGGTGGGGGGTCATGAGCCTAAGGACTTATGGCCGCATGGCTGGTCCCTGGGGACTGTGCAGGTTAGGGTGTTTAATTGTGCCCCCAACAGAAAAACTCCATCACCTAACTGGGGTTTGAACCCGGATCTCCTGCATAAGAGCCTGATGTAACCACTCGGCCAGCTGCTTCTCAGCAAACACTAGTTGTATATAAAGTTCTGCTTTCATGAGGTTGTTGCAGGCAGTATGGGGTCAGTTACTCTGACAAGGTACTTACAGCAGTTGTCTCAGAGTCCACATCTCTGCTGCCTTCCACATCTTTCTCTATTGTTACATTGTATCAGATGTGACCTTAGATTTCAGTGTGTATGGAATATCACATCAGATGACAGTGTGTATGTAATGCCACATTATGTGATGGTGTTTATGCAATGTCATGTTATATTGCTGTGTGTATGAAATATCATGTTGTGTGATGGTGTTATATACAATTTTACATTGGATGATAGCATGCATGAAATGTCATGTCAGATGTGCATGTTTGTTATCACCGATCAGATCTCTTATCCTTGGTAATGAAGACTCTCCAATCCTCTCTATACTGTGATAATTGAGTGGTACTGATGAGACTGATAATTTGATGCCAGCCGGGTGTAAAAAACCTGAGCTACAAGATATACTCATCGGCTGACAGGTTGTGGTCAGCATACCAGACAGAGCCAGTGATGGGATGGTTAGACCTGTGTTGACTAAGTTCTACCAGGAATGCAGAGGAGAAGAAGCAGAAATCTTGTACATATACACCTGGCTGCATCCAAACACCACAACACGTCTTGTCTTACCAGAGCCTTTATGGAAAGCCAGAGGTAGTAATACTAAGTGATCGTGCATGGCTTAAGAGTCAACTCAGAGAGGTTGGTGTAAAACAAACTATCTCAGCCTGTAGAATATGTTAGTTGTAAAAGTTAGCCAGTGATAAACCAGTCTATGACAGGCTTGCTGTGAGCTGTAGCAGGGCACTGCACTCTAAGGGGAGATACAGAAGCAGAAACAGTCAACAGTCAAATATGGCTTGTTTCTGTCACTGGGCATCTTTTGGTATCTGTATTGACTGGTCAGTCTCTGTGTTAACTGGTATGTCTCGGTCCCCAGCATGACCTCAACGCCAACAAGCTTCAGACAGCGCTGGATTCGGTGGTGGAGGAGTGTGTCAGTTTTGTCGGGGTGGACATCAACACCTGCAGCCAGAGCTTGTTGAAGAAAGTGGCCGGGCTCAACGCTGCCAAGGCCAAGAACCTGCTGGAGTGGAGAGCCAAGAACGGCCACTTTACAAACAGGCAACAGCTGCTCGGGGTCAAAGGTCTCGGCAAGAAGGGATTTGAACAGTGTGCTGGCTTCATCAGGGTC